GGACGAGGGTCAGCCGTCAGTTGTGCCAATTCCAAAAATTTCGACATCCCTGTCACTCCCCCTGCTCCTTTTTTGAAGGAGGCCTCGTCGCCCCAATCGTCACCATCAGCCTTCGGGCGAATTTTCCCATACGACCCTTCCCTTTTTCACCCTCGACTCCTCTCCCGTGACTCAAAAATCAAAAAACATGGCTGTTTCTATAGCTTTGATGCCAAGACCTATCGACACATCCCACAAAACTAAAGTTGAACGAGGGGGGGGGGGCAGAGAAGCAAATAAATATATCCATAGAAACACATGCACATGCTATAGTTTTCGTTATTTCATGCTTCTCTTCTGAGGTTCCGCCTAAACTGTTGGAAAACTTCAGAAACAACCTAATCCCCGCCTCCACTCCAGCGCGACTGCAAATTCCACCACCACATTCCCTCCAAGTCTCAGAAACGACCCCATCCAAAAAGCCAGATACGCTACCCCGTTGACCGTGGCTGTTAGACACCTACTGATGAGGGTCATTTGAGTCCTTTTGGGGGATAATTTTCGCCAAAAACCCTCGAAAGGTGATTAACTTCGGTGAAGGTACGTTTACGACCTGCTTGAACTTCCTTCTATGGTCCTGCCACGAATGGCTAGAGCACAGAAGATCAGAGAATGCGGCCTGGCTCGGCTCCAAATCCTCAGGAGGATATGAGCTCTAGGACTAAGCCTTGAAGGAGGAGGGGCTCGAGGTGGGTGAGCCAATTACAGTGTGGCAAAAGTTTGAATGTATGTGATCACAGTGGTCATGAGCCGCTGATAAGGCGAGAGAGCGCAGGCAGGACCATCAAATTGAAGCGCTTAGAGGACCGGTTTTAAGTAGTCAGCAGGCCGGTGAAGATAAGTGCACTACAAGAACAATCAACGAGCTCACCTTGTGATGTTTACAATAGTAACGCAGTACATAGTGTCCGAAAAGTGAATGTTGTTGAGGAATCGAGTACAGCTGAAACATGATGAGATCGGTGGGACAGTAACAGTAGGAGCTAGTATTTTTGTGATTAGGAATACAGCAAAACCCACTTTGTTGCGCAATCCATTGCAAACTCTTTGTAGGGCTCGGCCAGCGACTTCCATTCACCTTGCTCGAAAATCTGCGACAATGATCTCTGCAGTGATTAACCCTTTCCGGACCGCGCACTTTTTGCGCTCACGGCCGCATGCTGCGCGGCAAGCATAAATATCATATATTTAATCTGTATTCCCACTAAAGCCATTATTTTGTCTCGTTTATGTCTTTGTCATGTCTCGAAGAATATATAAGATTAATTTGACAGAAAACTGTTTTGCAAAAAAAAGGGAAAGGGCCATAAAAAGGGAGGAAGGGACGAAAATTGTTCAAAATAAGTTGGTATGGAGAAAAAGGGAGTAGAACGTGCCCAAAACGATTGGATCCATAAGAATCAGATACGACGAGCAGGATATTTCACAAATTCTTCGTTTTTAAGTGTTTTCAAGCGAACTACAACTGTTTTCTTTGAGCCCAAAGTGGAAGTCCATTTACTCTTTGGTTATTTTAGAACCTAGATTAAACCTAAAGTCTAGGTTTTTTCATACATATGGCATGAGTCTGTTACATAGGTATGTAACAACATAAAATATTTTATCGAAAAACCAAACTCTTGGAAAAATCAGCTCTTGAAGTTCCTGACACACCATGTGTGTCAGGCGGTCCGGAAAGGGTTAAATATTGTTTTTTATAGGAACCTCGGGCCGCAGACACGCGCAACCGCAAGTTCTTAGGAGCGACTGCAGATATTCTCTCCAGAGGGTAGACGCAGAACTGCGCGATCGTCGAAACCTATGATTATGCTTGGGCTTAGACTTAGGCCTGTGCTTAATCCTATGGATGGGCTTAGGCTTAGTCCTAAGCTTGCTACGAGCAAATGAGTGGTGTCTTAGTTTTACACTGGGGATCGGGTCGAAGGAAACGTGCTGCTCTCGGTCGGTTTGGCCTTTTCGAAGGGGAGCTTCATGACCAGGACGGGGGAACCCCCAACCAAAAGGAGAAGAGCGGCAGTTTAATCCTCCATATCATGGTCACTCCTGCATCTACATTGTCTATATGTGGCAGCCTTATTAATCACTGGGGGGAGTATCCACTGATGCTTTTCAGTGCGTCTAGTCGAAATACATAGTTGATGTGCGCATGCCCAAAATTGAACCTCTATGGGTTTTATCATTTCAGAGATTTTACTCATCAGTCGACTGCCCTAGTTGCTAATCACTGGCGTTATAAGCCTAATTTGAAAACTGTCAATACTGAATGAAAAATCTCTTTGAAAAATGGGGGGGAAAAGTCGTGTTATGAATCTATTTTCAGCGAGGTAGTTTTGGGAGTTAGCTACCTTTGTGTTAGTTATGTATATGTGATCTTCCCTGGAATGAAGAAAAATCAGAAAGTCAAATGAGGGAGTATTAGAAGCCTTTAAAAAGCAGTGGAGTTATTAGTTTTCGAAAACAGTTGGGCTGGCTTCATGTCAGCGGTTGATGCGGTCGCAAAATTCCGGCGCAAATGGCTGATTCGTCCCTGCGAAATTCATTCCTTTCATTTCCTTCTTTCTTTTGATCTCATCTCATCTTATTGAAACCTCATCTGCCACATCCAGTTCGCAGGCTGAAGCTGTGTCGCTCCAGGTTCCTCAGATTAGGCCCATAAGACTTCATGAAACGAGTAGGAAGCACGAGACAATTAAGCCGCAAGTATTGCACGCCAGGTTGGGCCAGGTGCTGTGAAAGTGGGTGAGGTTGCGGCGGTCGCGAAAACGATGTGGGCTGGGCGCTTTTTTGGCTGAAGAAAGTTCTAAGCGACTTTGTTGTGCCTCTGGGTAATATCGGCCCGTGCCTTTGAATGTACCTTGGGTGTGGGTAGCACTCGGCTCTCCAATTCCTCGACAATGGACTGCGATCTGGACAGCTGACGTTTTACTTGTTCCTTTCCAGCAACACCGTCTACAACTGGATTCGACACAGTTTGACCTGGAAAACCACATCATTCTTCGTCGCTGTAGGAGTTAGACCTGGTTTAGTAAGAAAATCCAAGAGGTTCGCTCGAAAATTGGCATTATTCGCTTTGAAAATGAATTTGGAAGTCTGAATACCAACCTGCAATAGGCTTGTTCTCTTTCGATGAGCCTTCTTCGTCGACTGATTGCAGCCTTGGTGGCGGTACTCTGAAAAACTAGCTATTCTTCGCCCGAGCTATCTACCTTATCTTATTACCAATAGGGTACACTATGTAATTTATTACTTGACTAGCTGTTTCCTAAACTATTCATAGTGAAGATACGAATAAGAGAAGAGGGCGCTCATGTCCTGGGGTAAGGTGGGGGTGGCATTTAGAACAGGGCATTCAAAAACCGCTGGCACGTTACACTAGGACAAAGTGAGAGGAAGAATGCTAGGGGGACAAAAATTGCTGAACATGCTCCCCCAGAATCCCTTCGTAGAGCTTACGGTTAGCCCTAGATACTGTGAGTGGCTCACTAACCTGAATTAACCCCCACCCCCTCCAAGGACATGAGCGCCGAGAAGAGTTATCACGTGGTCACCCACTTTTTCTTTTGCTCTTCCTTTTTGCGCACTTTCGTAGTTATGTCGATCACTTCGTGGATGTGCAGCATGCCACCCTCCTGCTTTAGCGCCTTGCAGGCGGTGAGCCAGTGAGCGCGACATGAGGGGACCAAGCCCAGAAACACACGATCGGCAACCAGGCAGGGCGTAACCTGAAACGGATGATGTCATTCGTGAGAAGCTCCCGCACTCTGCATTTGTTTACTTACTCTTGAATAGCGTTTCAATAGCAATGCGGAAAGGTGTCCGGAGAAAGTGGCACCGCCGAAACACGTATGGCTCGGAACTCTTGTTTATACTTATACCCTCTATTTCGGAAAACGAGAAGAGCGTCGAGTGCAGACCACACACCACAAGTGACGACGGCCAAGAAAAAGTGGCTTTTTCTTTTCTTTTTCTTGGCCGTCGTCACTTGTGGTGTGTAGTCTGCACTCGACGCACTCTCTCCAAAATAAGGGTACTTTATTACTCATCTATGAAGGCATGTTATGGGCAAAAAATGGAACCAATTTCTAGACCAGACAAACCGTTACAATAAAAGAATAAAACCAACAAAGTAACGGAAGAAAAAAACCAGCTGACATTTTGAGGTAATGAAGTAATACTCGAAGAAACCTGCAAAATTTTTGAGGTAATGAGATGTAATTGGTCCTAGTCAATCGAGGCTCACTTCCCTCAGATTCTTATCGGCCCCAGATGCGTCTGAGAAGATAGAAATTATTTCCATAGTTTCATCTTTGTATGTACGGACACAGTGTTAGGTATGTAAGGGCATCACCACCTTTACTTTGGTCCTTCTCTAAGGAACCCTAACGATAACATAGATCTCGCAGATAAGGGCGTGAATGGTTTGCGGTAATTGCGAGCCCCGAATTCCATAATTTTTTGATTATTACCAAATTTAGTTCGACCTCACCCTCCGACTATCTCCTTCGATGACGAGTATTCGATCTTGCACATTGTTCGCTTCAGCGGTCCTTCTCAGCGCCTCACACATATCGTCCGACCAATCGATGCTGACTACTTGTTTTGCTCCACAGCACACAAGAAATCGTAAGGAGTAATAACCAAGGCCTAAAATGATAGCCATATTAGATAAGGATGACAGTGACAGCTCACTGGCCTCTGAGAGCATCGTGACGAGTCGAGGAGTTCTGAGCTGAGCTACATTAAGCTGCAGCGGGCCAAACAAAGCTCAAAATGTTCCCACGGCCGGTCTTACTCGCGGTTTAACCTTCCTTTCCTCGACTGCTCTCACATTTTGAAAGGTCATCT